GTCTCCCGGGGCGGCTGCGGGTAGGCGCTCTCGGCGATCTGCATCTGATTAAAGTAGGCCTGCAGCTGAGACTGCTTCTGGAGGAAGAGCCGCTTCTGCTGGAGCCTGAATTGGCAGGACCAAAGGAGAGAGCCTTAAGCCTTCCAAGTGATGGCAATTTTAGCGTCCATGCAATACCAGCCACAGCTTCAGTCTTTTTTCCCAAGTCAGGGAAAAGCAAATGGGAGTGGGAACCAGTCGTGCTGGGCTTCTTTTTTAAAAGTTTATTTTTTTTACCTAGAGACAGGGTCTCACTCTATTGCCCTGGTTGGCCTCGAACTCCTGGCGTCAGGTGATCCTTCCGTCTTGGCCTCCTAAAGTGCTGGGATTACAGGTGTGAGCCACCTCGCCTAGCCAGTGCATGGGTTTCCGAACCCTAATCTCATTTTTGTCCCTCAATGATGACTGCTCCCCCTCAGTGCTAAAGTGAGCAGAAGTGCATTTTCTCCAAGGCTCTTGGGTCTTTCTCCCTGTAAAGAGAGACACTGGCTTCCCATCTGGAGTGGCTAGAGTGGGAGATAATTGTACCGGCCTCAGCGGGTTGATGGATTAGGATAATGCTGCCTTGGCCAAGCTGCAACTGCCAGCAAGGCCAGGGGGCACGAATTACAGCAAGGGAGGACAGAGGCCAGGATAGAGGCCTTCTCTGCGCCTAACCCACTCAAACTGCGGCCACTGCTTGTGAAAGCTCAGGTCTGGTCATACTCCAGAGGGGAAATGCGGACAAAAAGGGAAACAAAGCACATCTCAGGGCTGCTGTTGCCTGACAAATCCACGCTCCATGGACACTGGCATCTCCTCCTTAGCAACCCGCATGGTGGGACCATGGCACACACACAGAACCTGTTTTCCTCTAGAGGCAAACATGGGTGGGAGAGGACAGCAACTCTGGCCTTCCTAAGGCCTCACTAACGCCAGCGGCTTCCTTGGCCAGAGTCCTTGTCTCCTCACCTGTGTTCCTGCAGCTGCTGTTCAAGGCTCCGTGGTGGTTCTTTGCAATAAAGCTGACAGGTATTCGGGGCCTTTGACAGAAGGCTGGGCTTCTGGAAGAGCAGAGAAACAATACAAGTGTGACAATATGCTGTCACCTAGGATACAGTCATCTGTGCTTCCACGTGTGTCCTCCAGAATCCACCCAGGGTGCAGGGACTGACACTTGCTCGAGACGCTGGAAGAGCATGGGGCTGGCAGGCGGCTGTCTCAGTTCTAACCTACTTTAGTTTTCCACTCCATTTTTAAAAGTTCTCTAGGGCTATAATGCCAGCACTTTGAGAGGCCAAGGTGGGAGGATCCCTTGAGGCCAGGAGTTCAAGACCAGCTTGGGCAACAACATAGCAAGCTACCCTCTCTACAGAAAAAAAAACGTGTATCTCTGCTTTCCCCAGCCAGGGGTCAGGGCCATGCCTGGAGTCTGTGCACCAGGAACTGGCTTTCCAGGCACTGCCATGGGGAATTGAGGATGCATGCTGGTGGGGAGGGAAGAGACACTTCCCTCCTATGAAGAAACTTCATCCTGAGAAGTAATTTGCCACCATGCTTAGCTAAGTAGCTGTAGTCCCAGTTACTTGGGACGCTGGGGTGGGAGGATCGCTTGAATCCAGGGGGCAGAGGCTGCAGCGAACCAAGATTGTACCACTGGACTCCAGCCGGGGTGACAGAGTGAGACTCTGTCTCTAAAAAAACCCAAACAAACGAAAGGTCCTCTAGGACTGTGAGGTTCATGGAGATTAAAAAGCAAAGAGGACAAGTAGAGTTAGATGCTGACAGCAAAGGTCCCAGGACCTGCTGAATGAATGAACGAACAACTCATTCTTTATGTGATCTGTGTCGTATCCTTTTCAAAGCTTTTCACGTACTGCCGTACACAGCCCATGTGGAAACTTTGCAGGCTTGAGGTTCCCATTTTATTTATTATTCATCAAGAGGAATAAAACCAGAAACATGGAAGTCAGGTCTCCCTTTCCTGCCTCTCGGTAGCATGCCCTTTCCCTCTCCAGCATAGCGCCAGGCTGAGTCTGAACATGCTTCTAGAAACTAAGTGCAGAATCAAGCCCACCTGCCTATGAGGACTAAAGCAGCTACCCCAAGTCAATCCCACCCAAACGGGTTTCTGCTCTGCAGAAGGGAAGCAGGGTGGGCGGCCTAGTGGGGGAAGGGCTGCACCTGGAGTCTGTGCTGCCGAAACTGGCCGTCCAGGCTCTGCCGCGGCGAGAGCGGAGGGTGCACGCTGCTGCTGCTGCTGGGGACGGTGGAGACGCTTGCCTGCTGCTGATGAACTTCCTCCTGAGGGCAAGGGGTAGACGGCGGTCAGTTCTTCAAGGGAGAAGTCTCAGTTCTTAGTTGAAGCACCTTTGCAAATGTCCGAGAAGAGTCCTGACTCTCTAAGGCTCAGTGCTCAGAGCTTTCACGTGGCTTGCATGACTGCAGAACAGTGCTCTGTGCATTACCTGCAGCTAACCACTGCCTCGTCAGTGCTAGAGGGGAGGCTCTTGGTGTCATCAGGAGGCCATCGCCTTCCCGTAAGCCTCGAGTACTAAACTATCCTCGATGCACTAAAACAGCTCAAAATAAAATCAGATAAAGAGCAATATTTATTGTGTTTTAATAGGAACAACCTACTGATAGTATCTACCGAAGTGACATCACATCAAAAGTAGCAGCAAGAAGTTTCTCCTTTGGGCAAAGCTTATGCATGGTTGTAGCGGAGTTCACACCATCCTCCCTGAGAACCACCCACAGCTCGAGGTGCCCCGGCCTCCATCTGGCCCGGCCACGTGGGAGCAGCACATACGGGTCTAACCTGTCAGTGGCAGGTGGCGGCCACATGGAAAGCTTTCAGCTGTGGGCCTCCCCAAAGAACCTGTTTACTCCAGGGACTCCTGAGCGAAGAGCACACAACTTCAGGACAGACTCACGCCTCATACCCCAGCGCCGTTGTGGGAGGGCCAGAGCACCCACCTGAGGGCAGCTGCCAGCGAGATCTTGGAGCTGAGGAGCCGCTGATGCCAAGCTGGGGTCTGCCTCTGACCCCATTTGTTCATAGAGCAACTGCACTTTGTTCAATTCTAGAATGCCTTTGGTTCTAGCCAGATTCTGAAGATGTTGTCTAAATGCCACAATTCCTGAAAGAAAGTACCAAAACCACACGGTTTAAATAAGGCACAAGACCTTTCGGTGACACAGGTTCACACTAGCATGACAACAAACCCCCCTGAACTCCGAAAACCAAGAGTTTTTCAAGCAGTCACCTTGGGTGAGGGAGGTGTCCGATGCTCGGCGGCCCTCTCTGAAGCTCACTGGCGACCTGTTGTGGGCCTCTCGTTTCTGGGAGCTCAGTGCCTGCATGGCCGGGTTGGTAGGTCTCAGGCTAATGAAGGGAGATGCCAGGCGGGGTGAGGGCTGGTTGGCTAGCATGATGTCCTTGAGGGAGGGGTTGTCCTCCAGAAAGTTCAGGTCCCTCTGGACAGACCCCATATCATACTCAGAGTCCACACTGTCAAGGGACGGGTTGTCACCCACGGAGAAAATTTTCCCTTTAAGAGAAAACAAAACAGATATAACTAGCTGCAACAGCATCTTGGAAAACAGGCCACAAAGCATAGCCAGCTCAAGTCTTGACAGCAATAGACCCCTTAATCTCCAATCAGAACATTTTTTCAGAACTTTTTGATACAGGTCGAAGCAATCATCTTCTGATTTCTCAGGGACAACACTCCGGTAGCTACTCCGAGACCTCTGTCACTCCAAAAGAGCAAGCGCTCCGAGGAGTCACAGCACTCAGAGGGATCCCAGGAGTGGGGGCAGCCAGCATAGGGGCATCTCATGCTCATCTTTGCCAGCTGCTGAGCAGGCCTCGTCTCGCAGCCTGGGAAGTGGCTTCAGAAGGAGTAAGACACAGACTCTGTTCCAGCCATGGCTGGCCTCATTACTACTTCCTGGTGACTGGGGCAGGAGACAGTGCTGTGGAGACTTAACCCGGCGCCTCTCCCCAGCATACCTGCCCCCGGCATCACGACCAGCTGGTTGGTCACTTCCGACAGGGTGTGCCGCCTCTGGCCGCTGCGGGTGGACTGAAACGCCTCAAAGGCATGGCTGGGTTCCTCCTCAGCCTCTCCTTCGGTCTCCAGCCCTTCGTCGATGGAGGTCTCCATCATGTTACTGGGCAGCGACTGGCAGCCCTTCCTCACCAGGACTGGAGGCACGGGGTCCAGCAGACAGCCGTTCACCTAAATGCCAGGGGCGCGAGAGGCACGGTCAGCCGCTGCTCTACTGAGACAGCTCCCCAAAGGAAAGAAAGCCAAGGCTGGTGGCAAACTCGGAGTGAAGCTCACTAGTGACAACACAGAGATGCGAGGGCCAGGCAGGGCAACCGTGGCGCTCGGAGGCAGAAGCCCATCATGATGCGAGCGGCTCTGAGTCATCGTTATTACAATAAGCCCCTTTTTTAGTGATTTCCAGAAGAACAGGGACATATTAGCTTGAGGCCTACCAGTGGTTTTTTTTTTTTTAAATAAAGGAAATGAAAAGGGGGAAGATGAGAGTTTTGTTAAAAAGTCATAACTAAGAACAAAAGAGCAGTCACCAACATTCTAATATTTTTTTAAACAACATTCTAATTTTTAACCATAAAACTTAACTGGAAGGTTCTCGACGTGTTTTTATGTTCATAATTAAGTACCTGCCCATTTGGTTTTGGTCTTAATTGGTTCTTGTGTGTCTGAGGAATGAAAAGGGAACCCTTTAAAGACAGACTGAGACCACAAAAAGGACTGGGGGAAAAATTCAAATGGCAAACAGCCAAAGCCTCCCATTACGGAATCGCAAGTGGCCCTCCAGCCCCAAACGCCAGCAGAGGCCAATCGGCCGGTGCGCCGAACCGTCTCTCCAGCAACTCGCACAGTGTCTGCAGTTCCTGTGGCCCAGGACGCGCTCGGCAGGCACAGCTCCTGCGGAGGCTCCGTCCTCCCGTGCAGCCGCTGAGCAAACCACCTAATGGCAGGCAGGGACAGCTCACAAAGGGAGCTGTGGTTGCAGCTCTTCTGGCTGCGAAAAGCCCCCATGAGGAGGCAATTATGTACCTCATTACGGTAACTATTCCCCCGTGGAAACCAATCTGTGTTCTCCCACGAATGGCTGCTCTGCAACAACCCACCAGAGCCCTCAGTCCTGGGCGGCACTTTCGCCCGGACGCCCTGGGTAGAGCTATTGTTTCCTTTGGAAGCAAGAGCAGCGCGTGTATGTGAGAGGTGACGTGGTGGGACAGCCCGCCAGGCGCAGGAAACTTTCCTCTTATGGCAACCGGTCCCGAAGGCACTGCAAGGCCCTTTATTTGGAGAGGGAGGCTTGGGTGACTCAGAGCTTTGTTTGCTTGGGGGAGGGGGTGGCTATTTCATGAAAACCAACCGGGGCTGCAGCCGTGACTCCCGCAAGGTGGCTGATGCCCTGCGATGACGGCTTTTAAAGTGAGAGTGGTCATTTAGGAGGAGGAGCGGCCAGTGCTTTCCTCCCACACCATGACCAGCCTTCCCCATGGCACCAGAAAACAAAACTCTGAAATCTGGTCCGCAGCTCCGATTTTCTCCTTGTCCCTCCCCAGATAAATTTTCTGTGCTTTTAACAGTTTTCTTGTCAGAAAGAACAGTTGCTTGAGAACTTATATTCATACTTCTTGGTGCCTTAACTGTCTACTAATACAATTTTCTAAAACCGGTCAAGGATGACTTAGAAGTGAATAAAACCAACAGAGAAAAGATCACGAAGTGATGATTTTCCAAGCGTCATTACACTGACAGCCTCTGTCAACATTTTACCAGACATTTTTTGCAGCATAAGCCATACAAGCAGTTTCTTTTGTTTCCTTAATAAAGAAAAGTTGCTTTTTTCGGATTCACTCAAAATATTCTGCAGTGCCCCTAAATTTTCAATTTTACTTAAATTGTCAGCATATAAACTTATCTTCTCATCTAGACTACAAGGGGCATTATGTCTTTTATTAAAAATGTTCACTGAATTCTATTTCAACCTGGGTCAACTAGAAAATAACTATCTGATCTTTCATTGATTTGATTTTTCTTCCCCCCTCCTTTTTTTGAGTCGAGTATCACTCTGTCACCCAGGTTGGAGTACACCACAGCCTCAACCTCCTAGACTCAGGCTATTCTCCTTCCTTAGCCTCCTGAATAGTGGCAACTATAGGTGTGCACCACCACACCTGGCTAACTTTTTGATTTTTTTTGTAGAGACAAAGTCTTGCTATGTTGCCCAGGCTGGTCTCAAACTCTCAGGCTCAAGCAATCCTTGACCTCCCAGAGTCCCCGGATTACAGGCATGAGTCACTGTACCCATCCTGATTTGACTTTTCAGTGACCTGATGTTTTATCCCGGGGCAGCTAGAATACAATGATTTGATGTTTGATGATAATGAAGAAAGCACTATGGGGGCTATTCACAGTTAATAGGACACCTTTAGCTGTAAGTTCTAGTTTCCTTAAAGAGCTGATCTTTATGCCACCCCTGCCTGCCAATTTACTGAGGGACTTAACAGAATAAGAGTTTAAATTCAGCTCCAAGATTTTGTGACTGAAATATCAGGCTGATCTACCTAGGTACTCAAGCTGCTAGAAATAAGATCTTTTGCTCTAGGAAATAATGTAGGCTAATTATAAATAAAAGGACTTCAACATACACATGGCTGGGTAGCCCCTTGGTAGCTTTTCTGTCCTCTCAATAAATCCTGCTTTCTTTGAAAAAAACAAAAACAAAAAACACATGGCTGAATGTACACTTTGTAATACATTGTTTTGTCTCCCCTCAAAGTTTAATGGTTACTGCACCTCATAGGCAACAGGTGTTATGCATGACCAGAGAATGCTTTATAACAATACAAATGTAAAAAACATGAGAATAAAACTACTTTTAAAAAAGGAATTTTTATCACCTTGAGGTAGATTAAATAATTTTAAGTGTGGAAACAAAGAACTGAATAGCACCAGTTGTAGACATTTATCCTAAAAAAATAATCAGTGGTATATAGTCAAAGATTCAGACATGTGGATATTCATCATAAGCAAATATAACAATTGCAGATCAGGCATGGTGGCTCACAACTGTAATCCCGGCAGACACCTGTATTCCCAGCACTTTGGGAGGCCGAGGCAGGAGGATTGCATGAGTACAGGAGTTAGAGACCAGCCTATACAACATAGCAAGACCTCATCTCTACAAAAAAAAAAATCAAAGAATTAGCCAGGTGTGGTGGTGTGAGCCTGTAGTCCCAGCTACTCAGGAGGCAGAGGTAGAAGGATCACCTGAGCCCAGGAGGTCAATGCAGTGAGTTGTGATGGTGCCACTCCAGCCTGGGTGACAGAGTGAGACCCAGGACTCAAAAAAAAAAGGGAAGATGGAAGGACCTAATGTCCAACAGCAGAAGGGTAGTTTAAAAAAGGTAATATACCATATTAGGCAGTTGTTACAACTCATGATTTCAAAGATTTCACAACATGGAAAAAAATGTTCAGGACAACATGCTGTTAAAGCAAGACGCAGAGTGACAGATGATGGAATACCATTTTCTCTTGGGAAGTCTACCTGCTGACGGAGCCACCCTATGCCTACACACCCACCACCCATCTGTAACCCACAGTAAGGAAACATGCCAGAAGAAACTTAACATTGGAATTAAGGATAAACAAATTTTTTTCTTTGTCCCCCTTAGGATTTTTCATGCGTGATTATGATTTGGTTTTATTTTTTCAATTTTATTTATTTATTTTTTATTTTTTGGAGTTGGAGTCTCACTCTGTCGCCCAGACTGGAGTGCAGTGGCCGCTGCTGGCCACCGCAGCCTTGACCTGCTGGGCTCCGGCGATCCTTCCGCCTCAGCCTTCCAAGTAGCTGAAACTGCAGGCACGCACTACCACGCCTGGCTAATTTTTTGATTTATTGTAGAGATGAGGTCTTACCAAATTGCCCAGGCGGGTCTCGAACCCGCGGGCTCAGGCAATCCACTCACCTCAGCCT